CTTTGAAAATGTCCACCGCGGTTGTGGACGAAACGTCAGGAAGAAATTCCGATAGACCACGGCTTCAAAGCCCGGAAAACATTTCTAAATGTAATCTCTAAATAGTTATTGTATGCTTTTTACCCGAAAATTGAGTAATCGTGTTGCCATCTCAATTATCTTTATATTGAATTTTGAATAAATATTACACTCTGCAAATAGTTCTAGTACGACTTTTTATCCAGCTTTTCAAACTCAATATGAAAAAATTTACCTTTCAAATTAAGTACAAATTTTAGCAATATTTTGGAGGTTCCAATTAAGTATATACAACACGAACGCCTAACTTTTATTTTTAAAAGTTAACCAGCTCTTAATTTTAAGTCATGCTCCCAGTGTGACGAAAAAACATGCTTTTAGAAATATCTGGATATTGGCGAGATTTCGTTTGGAACCTGGATAAGCTGCAAATTAGCCCTAAAGGACTTAAACCTTGATGGTTGTTATGGTATAACAGCAAAGAAAGCAAATATTTTATAAACCTTGAACGTGTTTCTTATAAATAACATAGAGTGGCAGTTATGGGCAAAAGTTGTCTAACTTTAAATAGGTGGCGAAAAAACTATCTAATCGCTAAATATGCAAAACTTAATCAAACTGTTTCGATATGCTCAAAATTCAAAAACAAAATAGTTTTGTGAACTAAAAAAGTTACTCTTTAAACTTATAAACCCACATATTTATTGAATTCATGTGTTTCTTTTTCATTATTAGTAGACTTTGGCCAAACAGTATGGTTTTTTTTCTAATGAGAATATTAAAATCTCACATTTCTGCCATGGAGATCCCAAAGTTCTATTAAATAATAAACTAAAAATAAAATGAAAGACCATCTAAAAACCTTTAAGGAACCCCTGATTAATCGCGACATCATCATTGCAAGCAGAACTGTAACTTAAAAATGCAACGTTACCTAACAATAATTTCAGATCTCTAATCAGGACTTTCCGGGGCTTCATCTGATTATTGATAATTCTATAGCTCGGAAATTGATTATTGCATATATACAGCGATTCCAAATTTTCCACCCACAACGAGCACAGATCTCCCAATTCCGACAGAAATGGCTTTTCGTCTTCGGCTGGTCCACATCCATAACTTTCCCATGTGTACCTGATTGGTGTACTCAATTGAGACACCACCTCATCCCAAATACTTTCCTTGTTAGGAGAGGAATATCCTTCATCTCTCAATAAATCACTTAAAACTAATTCACATTTCTCCTGTGATTTAGCTGGCGTGTTAATCGGAGGTTCAAATGCCATTTTAAATATCTCCGTTGACTGAATAGCATCGGTACTTCTTTCCAGTAAAACTGAAGGTAATTTAAACATGTTGTTGAATTTTGTCATTTCAGCTTCTATATTTGGGAGTGTAGACCAGTCCTATTAAATTTACACAAAATTGTGTAGAATCAGCTACTAAAGTGGTGCAAATTTACCAGTGCATTGGCATTCGTTTTCTTAGGGACATCTTTCAAACAGAGCAAGAATGTTATGACACCGTTATAACTCTGAACATCTGAACCATAGGATTCTTTAAGAATTTGAGCGTGTTTGTTTAGTTCTTGAGCAGTTTCGCCAAAATCGTACTGAGTGAGTTCATAGCACCATGCGAGAAGATTCACCGTCGGCTCAGTGGTGCCTTTCAAGTCTTCAAACTCTGCAATTTAATGTAAGCATAAATTGTGAAGCATAAAGAATACGCATTGATTTTTAACGAAGTGCAGCGAGGTATGAAGGATATACGGAAGAATGATAAGGAAGGATTTTTAGTTTTGAAAGATCCACTATAGGCTCCGTACATTTACGACTTATATTCAATAAAGCGGGATAAAACATAATCCTGATGGGTTCGCTCGCGCGGTTCGGACTCATAGATTGAGTTGTAAATGGCACCATTGCACACGTTAATATTTTAAACATTTTTGTCTGCAAAAACCATTTTGCCACTAGTGAACCAGAAACTCACATCTGCAAAATTATTCGTAGATTTATCAAGCGGTTTAGGATATATTAATAGATTTTTATGTTTTCTTTTTCTTATGCTATCGAATTTTAACTCCGTGTATTTTCGTAACAGTGCCCTTAATGACCGTCATTACTAGAACTTTTCATTTTAAAATAATGCTAGAAATCACCTCCTCAAGCTTATCACAGATGATCGTGATAAACTGACTTCAGTTTATCACGAAAACGGATAAAATAGTTCGTCGGTACTTTGTGTCCTGTTGGGCTTTACAGAGTCACTGAGTGATGTGAAATCACAATGAATGATTGTTCTAAAGTGCGATTTGGTGTGATCATCCAGTTCGTTAACTGCAAGATTAGTGCGGTGTTTTCAATCTGGGGTGGATCTTTATTACTTCTTCAAATGTAGTGTGAGCTTCTTGAAGTTAATGGATATAAATTGCAGGATGGAGCGCCAGCTTGCTGTGAGCTGGTAAGAAGGATCTCTATTTATAAAAAAAGTTTAGTTTATCAAGAAACAACTGACGCGTTATGGCTCTCTATTTCCATTTCTTTCCTTTGATGATTTCGAATAATTCGGCTTTGTTCTAAGTTTCTTTTATACTAAAGAATGTTTTTCTTTCTTTCCGGGTGGCACAATGCAGATTTCGGTAAGTTTCGCGTTACTTTGCCCCTGGTTGCCATGTAGGTGTAGCGCTTTTAGTTCAATATTGCTGACTGGTATTTTATGATATTGTTGCATGTAATATTTATTCGACCAGAAGCGACTTCTGGATTCTGGATTGCGGTTTAAAATTTTAAATTTTTATATAAAGCCATATATTATACGTTAACAAATGAGGTTTTCTTCAAGAGAGCATTTCCATATGAAATATTTCATTCTACACTTTTGATTGTAGTGCAAATCAATTTGTCATTTAGTATTGATTTTCTTCCATGAACACCCTAAACTAAACAGTTCTTGTTTTCTCAATAGGGATGGTTTGAGTTTTCAAAATTTAATTACTTTTCACTCTGTATGTGAACATAAAATAATTAAGTTTTCCACAATAGACTGTTTTTATATGAATATTTCCAAATTAAATGTAAAATAGGGGCATTCTGTTGTAAACACATCTTGGAATGTCTTCGTGGTTTTTTGCTGTAAATTAAACTTATATACCTAGGTATACTTACACTATTTAAAAAAAAAATAATAATAACCCAGAATCCAGATCAAAATGTCTAAAGGTAGGTGGAACTTGTTAATTTATTGATGATTGGTCTAGCGGACAGCGCCCTAAGAGGCTGCAAGTGATCCTGGCCTACTTATTGAGATTTCGAGTTCGAGTAAACAGTTTACTTTTGCCAAACAATCCATGCTAGGGAATTTCAGCGGCCAGGAATCGTCTGCCTATTCCACTTTTTCTGCCGTCCAGCGCCCTTCAGGCTGTGTGTAGTCGAGATCAAAACTATAATCAGACTTGCGGCTGTTCTTCAAAATTTCAGCTACAAAAAGCGTTGAGTTTTTTGAGAAAAAATAGGGCTTTTACGGAAGTTCAGCGATCTGGATCTGGAAGGCAATTTGTTTAGTAGTAGTAGACGGCAACCAGGGTTGTGTATCTTTTTTGTCATATTTATGCTGCTCGCATGTGCAGCGCGTGTGATCAAGATTGCGGATTTTATGTAGCAGCTTTTGCGGAGATAATATTGCGATTTTTACACAATTTTTTGTGGAATTCTTGTTGCGCTTGGTGCGAATTTTATCCATCGATTTTTTGGTAATGGTTGCCTCATGTGCGGATTTTACTATGGATTGGTCATAGCGGCTTTTGCGGAGCAAATTCATTGCGGTTTGTGTGAAATTCGCATTGCGCTCAGTGAGGATTTAATTCACACCAATTTATTGATAATGGTATAGTGCCCTCTTGCTCACAAATGCTACGCAAATTTAAAGATTATTTTAATTTACTAGGTAAGTACTTACAAGTTATTTCCTTGCAGTTTCGTAGTGTTGAGATTTTATTATATTATGTTGGTACTTATTTTGTTAACCTACCTAAAAGTACTTATCAGGTAACTGTAAAATATGTGTATATAATTCTTCTTAAGTAAGTAATTACGCTGTAGATAAGCAGAGATAACTTTTTATTTGCTAAATATAGTTTTCTTGCAGTTTTGGGTTAAGCAATTATATAGTAGTTTTTTTCTTTGAATTACAACCTAAATTAAACGGTTGTTGTATTTCAATGAAGATGGTTCGATTTTTCAAATCCTTTTCACTCAAGTTCTCTACAGGGGCTATATTTACACGAATCAGCTAATTACCTTCACTGGTGTTTTCCTTGGCAATTATCTAGTCTATCTATAAATATTATTAATAAAAAATTACTAACTACATTTCTAAGTGGTTTTTCTTTTCGAAAAATCGTTTACGTACTTTTTGGGGTTCGAAAGTTTACGATTCTCTTAATATAAGCAAGTATGCGACATGCGACCATTGCGTTTTGCTTATAATTACATTTAAATCAACATTTTAATACATATTCGCGGCCACTAAGAAAAAGTGACCAACGACGTAAGTAACTTTCCACTTTTATCGAATTCCAGAAAAGTACAAACCAGATAATTAACTTTTTTCTGTGAATTATGTACACCTTAAATTAAACGGGTTTTCTCCACTTAGAGCCTGTAGCTACTTTTGAAATTAAAAATACATTTTCTTTATTTCCATAAGTGCCTTTTTCATAAACTAGCCAGGTTTTCCATAGTCGACTACTTAAGTATATGTGAACCTTTACAATATAAACGTAAACCTATTGTAGTTCGACTGTAAACCACACTTTGTTATTTTGTAAGGCAATTTGTGTCAGTTATTGCTGTTTTTCTTCGTTGAATTCGATCGAAATTAAACAGTTCGTATATTGGGGATAGAAATGGTTCGATTTTTCAAATGTTAAGACCTTTTGGTGCAGTTTTTCAACATTAACTAGTCAAGTTTTACAACGTAAACTGTTTCTTTGATACAAAGGTGTCTGGGGCAAAATTATTGCCACGCCATTCTCGCAAAAGAAAACTATGCAACGGATATCGGGGGCGAAGTTTTTCTTTCGGAAATTCTACATACCAATTTATTGCCGTCTAATATAATTAATTAATTGCTTACTTCTGGGATCATTGGATAATTTTTTTCCTAACAGCACTTCATAACAATGTGACCGGGCTGTTTTCATTTGATCTCCATTAATACAAAGCTTCTGACAAAGTTTTGTAATCAAACTATACACTGATTCATTGTTTTCCTCCATAATAAGCACAAACACTAATTATTATTATTAAACAAAACCATTAATTATAACCACAAACAAACAACTTTTCAAATTTATGTCAAGGCGCTGTCAACTGCTGTCAACTACGATTCCCCTAGTAAGTGTTGTCAAGTCTACAAGAGTAGGATGATCTGTGGTTAAAAAATGTTTAAATTTACACATTCTTCGTAGATGGTCGTATAGTTGTCTTCATCTATGGTTGTTAACCTCACATTCATTGTTTACATATTAGATTTTATGTTGAATTTATTGTAAGTTTTAATAATGAAAACGAAACTTTCACGACAAAATAAGATTAAGGTCCATTCAGGGCACTTGAGTCAAACAGATTGTCATTTTAATCCGGGGGGATTTCAATGCCGCCGATTGGATTTTTGTTGTCGACACTTTGAATTTCTGTTTTTGGCATTTTGAGGGCAAGGAAGGCAAGTTATCTTTAAAGTTATTTAGTTAATTATCTGGGTATTCAGAGCCTCGCGTAGAAACAGAAAATTATTAATCTTATACCAAATCCCTTTACCAAGAAGTTTTGTCAATGATGTGTTTTGCGGAACGGCGGTTTTCGATCATATTTTACTCATTAAATTTCACTACGTCCCCATAAGATAGGGAAAGGCGCCCACAACGGGGTCAAATCCCAACCGTCTTCCTGGCGCTCATATTTAAACGTAGTTTCAACAGAAATACTGAGAAATAGGAAAAATTGTAATAAAATTAATGATGTACCCACTTATCCTTACAGCATGGTAAGTGGAAGGCTATTCTGGATATTATGCATTATGTGCCGCAATTGAGAGAGCTATTAAGACAGGAATTGATATTTTGAATCCCAATTTAACCCCTACCATTGCAGAGGAACAATTAAGAAACTTGTGCGCGGTGATACTGAAGAAAAAGTTTCACTACTACCCGAAAGGGTGAGATGTGAAGTGTGAGAAGCCTGGGCTATTTGAAAGATATCGATGATGAAATTACAATGTTTGCAGAGTACAGAGTACTCCAAACTCTTCTTCGGTTTGGGTTTTTCGAGCCTAGCAAACATTTAAGCGAGATATTGTGAAAAATGGCAAAATTGAGTAGCAAGAGATTAGATGATGTTCCATTCATGCTATAGAGCTCTCGAAGGATTATGCCAATAAAAAACTTGCATCCAGATGGACTAATTCCGTCTTGATTGATCATTTTTTTTGGAATTTTAGATGGAAACATGCACAAAAATAGTAAATATGGGACTACCGTTTCAGAAAGTATTCTGCATATATTTATTAGTGTCTTGCCAATGTAATCCAACATTCGTTAACTATTTTAATTGAACATAGAGTTTTGTTCTATATTTTTAATTATCTTTCTATCAGCACTTATAACATTATTTGGTAGGTAATAAACAGATTTCTGGGTAACTGAATGAAAATAAGTGTGCTTCAACGTGAAAACAAGAAAGTGCTGTTGAACTTGATTTAACAATATTTTTTCTATTAACGTTGAACATTCCTCCCGTTACTTTTCAGTGGTTCTTCGCTAAAAAGACACATGTCAGTTATAGTGATTCTAGCATTATAACTTAATAAGTCCACTCACCTTTCTCTGCTTTGCCTTCAAAAGGTCACTGAGGTTCACTATTTCTTCTTCCATACTACTGTCACTATCCCAATTCTTTTTTATGTTTGCACTTTGCGCTGTTTTCCGTTTTTTAGTCGAGGATTCAGGCGTCTTTGGACGAGTAAAATCATGATGTGCAGCAGTCTTCTTTGTGTGCATTTGTACAGTTGGAGCTGCACTAGTCTGCTGGGATCGTATCAGACTATCTATATCTTTCCTTCTCTGCGACACAAGTTCGGCTTCCTGTTTGCGGGCATTTATAGACGCTTCTAATTCTTTTAATTGATTTTCCAATGCCTTCAATTCATCATCTAACTTGATACGAATTTCCTGCATCTCAGCATGCTGTTTGTTTAGCACTTTCACTTCTAGCAAAGAAGTATTTTCGAAAGTTAGTATAGCCAATTCCCCTTTATCTGCTTTCTCTGGCAGCTGCTCAGTCGCTTTTTGTATCTCGTCACTAGTAGCATTGACGCTGATTTGAATCGCGGCTTTTTCATTATACAGTTGATCAATGCGATTGGTTACAGTTTGAATCTTTTGTGAAAGATCATCTGAGTTCTTCAGTGAATCCAATAAATGTTCTATCTTATTCAGTTCTGTTGATAACTGTGTCACGTCTGTTGTTGTATTTGAGATGTTCTCATCTAATTCTTCGAGTGACTAAAGCGGAGAAAAATTTTGAAAATCTTAAAGTAAATAGAAAATTATTAGAGGAAAATTGTCCCTAATTAATGTTTTTTGCGAATTAAATAGCAAAAATTGAAACAGCCTATACAAAATAATATTATTTTTGTCATGATACGTACTTCTAGACTGTTTAAGTAGGTTTTCTCTCCAACACTAGGTTTGAAATGATTTCCTATATAAGCTCGAATTTCTTCAATTTCTTGGCGAAGTTTTAAATGTCTGCGCATGTAATCGTTTTGCAATACTTCCGTCCAAATATTAACGGTATCGTTCAGTCCTGCATTTAATGTGCTCTCGCTATCTTCCAGGGTTTGAACGAAAGTGGTTAATTTATGTTCAACAGTTTTCTGGTGGTCTTTGTTTTGGCAAAGTTGCGCAACATCCAATATTATATTTGATAATCTAAAATAGCATAATAAATGTGAACTGCTGTGTGCTTTATATACAGTCTACAGAACGTGGTAAATACTCACTGCGATTCCAACTCAGAAAATATAGACTCCTGATATTTGTCCGCAACCTCTTCATTACAAGTATCAATTGTGCGGGCCTCTTCTGTAATCGCGCTATACTCGTCATGTAAAGTGCTTAATTTGCCTTGAAGTTCGGTTAATTCTTTTTCAATAAGTTCTGAAAGATCCTCGTCATTATCCGCATAACTTAGAAGAATATTTTCATATTCTGTATTCTTATGGTTTAGTTCTGTGTTTTCTTTTCCAATATCTGTCATTTGAATTTCTAACTCTTCTAAGCCCTTTTTGCGTTTATCTTTCAACTGATTAAAGATGGTAACGAGTTCACCAATTTTCTTGTCTGAACGACTTACGTTGTTATTCGCATTTTTTCCTAAAATTACAAACATTTTTGTTTTTGAACGTGTAGCATTAATTTGTAGTTCATAAGCATTAATGCGAGTTCTTATTTACCCATAGACTGTAATTTTTCTTGGTTGTTGTTTAGGTTTTCGCTAATTTCGTAAATATTTTCGTAAGCAGCATTAACCGATTCACATATTTCATCGATAATTTTCCTGTAATATGAATTTTTCTCAGTAGCAGCACGTTGCCGGTCTTTAGTCATTGTCAAAGAAGTGTCCTTCGAAGCATTATTCGATTTCAATGTTTTCTCCTGCTGCTGTAAGTCTTCATAATAAATGTGCTTTTGGTCCATAGACATCTTCAATTTCACACGTTGTTGTTGGTGGTCGTCCTAAGACAATATTTGAAAAATATGTATGCTTAAAACGGTTTTTACTATCTTAAAAATAGTTTTCGATGAAATATAAGGCCAAGAGGCTTATAATCTGCCTCGTGCAGATCATAAACATATAAAATTAAATTTTAAGTTTAGAATGTGAGAGTCTGTTTGCGTCCCAATGGTAAAGTGGTTTTCAAAAGACAGCAGGTGTGGTCGACAGCTATGCTACCATTTTCGGAGAAAGAGTAAAACTGTTTTAATCTTCATTTGAAGATATAGCTATCGAAGCACGCGTCAGGTGTAAACGTAAAGTGTCCACAAATTAGGAAAACTCCATTATTTTATAAATTTGGTCTAAATTGATTCTCACCAATGCTTCGACGAGCTTGTTAATTTCTTGAAAAATTAACTGCGGATTATCAGCAATCGTTGGCTTGTCCATTTTGAAACGAATAACCAGTGTTTATCTTTTTCTTTAATGGAAATCAGCAAATAAACAAGTTTTTTGGAATTGGGCACAAATTGAATCAAGTCCGCTGTCACAAAAATCAATTAACTGTCGTAGTAGTCAAGTTCTGTAAATTTTCTGACGTCCAGCGTCTGCTTGTGTGGGCAACTACCAAAATTACTTAGAGATAATTAATTAAGCAATTCTTATTGTTGATTTTATATAGTTTTTCTTTCTAAACTCTTGTCAGAAAAGGTACATGCATATTTATATAATTATTGAATGATTTCCTTTACATACAGGGTGTGGCGTAAGCTCATGATCAAAAGGGTACTGCGATATTCTTTGGACCAAAATAAGACGATCTGACCTAACTTTTATTAACAAAAAATGACTGGCTCCTCTGCTATTGATGGTCAAAGTTCTTCAAAAAATGTATCTTTTTCGAATTATCGGCAGAATGGTATGATGTATTTTAGTGAAACTCGCTGTGAATTTGTTCTTATGTAAGACTCATATTTTGATGAGACAGTCGAGTTCAGCCGTTTTGGACAAGTGGTGAATTCTTSAGTGTCGTGGTACAAAAACTACCAGAACTTTTTAGTTGGAGGATGAAATGAACTCATTTTTTTAGGTTGATGCACTAATCATTTGTTCACAATTTTGTGCTCTTTGTAAAATCTTGTAGCATTCATAGTTTTCGCGAAAATAAAAATTTCTGTTTCCTTGCCACTTAACAATGTTAGACAATAAATCTCACAAATTCGTTTTGAATGACCCTTTCTAATGAAGAAGTGACCGACATGGTCAAAGTATTAGAGTATTGCAAAAACAATTTGCGTGAAAGCATAAGCGTTTACGCGGCGCATTTGCAGTAAATGTCTAGCATTGCTAAGTGACTAGAAAATAGACATATTTTTTACGCAAAAACTATGAATGCTACAAGAATTTGCAAAGAGCTGAAAATTGTGAACAAATTACTAGTGCATCAACCTAAAAAAAATGAGTTGATTTCATCCGCCAACTAAAAAGTTCTGGTAGTTTTTGTACCACGAAACTCAAGAATTCAGCACTTGTCCAAAATGGCTGAACTCGATTGGTTTATCAAAATATGAGTCTTACGTAAGAACAAATTTACAGCGAGTTTCACTAAAATACATTGTACCATTCTCCCGATATTTCAAAAAGATAATTTTTTTTTAAAACTTGGACCATCAATGGCAGAGGAGCCAGACATTCTTTGATAATAAAAGTTAGGTCAGATCGTCTTCTCTTGGTCCAAAGAATATCGCAGTACCCTTTTGATCATGAGCTTACGGGATACCCTGTATAATTGATAAAATGCGCAACTATTCAGGTAACTATACGAATGTTCAACATTTTAATGACAATTGGAGTTATGATTTATGTGATTTATTTTTCTTTTCATGCTTATGTTTCTTGTGTTGTATATTTTTTGTATCTCTTTCTTCTTGTCATTGCTGTCGTTTTTCTCGACACAGTCTTCTTCACTATCGCTTGATATCACAGTTGTTTCAGTTTTTTCAGGAACTTCCGTAGCTACCAACATTGTTTTCTTCTGGCTTATCAGATTGGGTATGTTCGGACTGTGATTCAGTCTCTTGCTGTTTCGGTTCAGGTTTTACGAACTGATGAAAACTGATTCCAGATAAAATGCCCTCTTTTAATGGTTTTATTTTCGGTATCAACTGATTGGATAAAACTGTAGATTGCAGTTCTTCTTTTCGAATATTTTTTGGGTTTCATCTGAGCCTATTATGGACTTCGCGACTTCGTCGTCGTTTTCAGATTTCGCTACTCATAAATATCGCTTTGCACAAATCCTGCTGGGTCTCTAAGCCAATTTTCTCTGTAACATCTTTTGGTTTGCTTGATTCAGCCTCTTCATTTTAACTTGATGATCTTCTTTACTTTGATTGGAGTTGGCACTTTCATCTTTAATTAGTGAATTGCCTTCATTACTGAGTTGATGCATTTCAGTTTCAGTGTCTTCTTTATTTAGCCCCGGTTGAAAATTGAGCTCTTCCGCGTGTTTTTGATATTCAAATATAATATTTTTTTGTGCGGGTTCTAGATTTCTGTGGTCGGCTGAAAATATAATTTATTATTAGGCATTTTTTAGCAAATCATAAGAATGTCTTTTTGTTAATTGGCAAACTTGAACGTTTTAACATACAGGGTGTCGCAATAACGATGGTAAGCCGCTGTATCTTGGAAAGTATGTGTTGTAGAATGATGGTAAAAAAAATTTGATAACAAACTTGACGAAAAGAATTTGCTGGAAGTTATTTTTAAATTGCTCAAATGACCTGGACACTGGAATTGCAAACGGTATTTTAAAAAGTCGATGTTATACAGAAATTGTCCCTATAAGTGAAACATCTAGTAAGTTTAGTCAAAAGATCATAAAAACCCGTCCTACTTTCCTTATGGAATTTTTTCTTACTTGTCAAATAAAGCGTGGGGAGAGAGTCAAACCGCTTAATTCAAAGAAACCTGTAACTCCGAAGCGGCTTGACCGATTTCAAAGTTTTTACTATCAATTGCAAGAGCAATAAAAGCTCTACAATATGTGATATAAAAGCAATCATAATCGTTCAATCAGTCAATCAAAAATTTCAAATGCCATCATCAAATTATTTTACACGCATTCCAAAGCAAAGGAAAAATTGAACCAAACCGCAGAAACCGCATCTCAAAATAATTTCTGGAACCGATTTAATACTTGAAAATAATAAGGGTTGCCTAATTCAAATAATTAAAGTAGGAATTGCCTCTATAAGTGAAACATCTAGTAAGTTTGAAAACGGTGGGAAAAATAAAACAACATTTTTTCTTCCAAAGCCTACTTTTTTTTTCGAACAGCGGGTTTTTCGAAAATGATTAAGATTGCTTCTATATCACATATTGTAAAGTTTTTATTGCTTTTGCAATTGATAGTAAAAACTTTGAAATCAGTCAAGCCGTTTCGGAGTTGCAGGTTTCTTTGAATTAAGCGGTTTGACTCTCTCCCCACGCTTTATTTGACAAGTAAGAAAAAATTCCATAAGGAAAGTAGGACGGGTTTTTATGATCTTTTGACAAAACTTATTAGATGTTTCACTCTTATACACATATACAAGTTTATAGTTAGTTTTATATTCAAAGGTTTCTCTTATGGGGACAATTTCTGTATAAAATCGACTTTTTAAATTACCGTTTGCAATTACGCCATCTAGTGGTCATCTGAGAAATTTCAAAATAGTTCAAGTTAGGAGGAAGTTAGGAGGTAAGTTCATAAGGAAAGCAGTACGGGTTTTTCGGATCTTTTGACAAAACTTATTAGATGTTTCACTCTTATACACATATACAAGTTTATAGTTAGTTTTATATTCAAAGGTTTCTCTTATGGGGACAATTTCTGTATAAAATCGACTTTTTAAATTACCGTTTGCAATTACGCCATCTAGTGGTCATCTGAGAAATTTCAAAATAATTTACAGCAAATTCTTTTCTTCAAGTTTGTTTTCAATTTTTTTGCGATCACTCTACAACACATACTTTCCAAGATACAGCCGCTTATCATCCTTATTGCGACACCCTGGATACAACTTGAACACTTGAACAACTTTGCAAATCCTGTTTGTTTCCATAATTACGTATCAGGCGTTCAATTTGCTTGTTAACGTTTTCTAGCTCTTCCTCTAATTGTCTTATTTGTTTTGACTGGTTTCTGGATACGGTTTGCATCCTTACATACCATACCATTCATAAAATACAATAACGAACAGTTCATAACATAAGTGTTTTTTAATCGATTTGGACTGATTCCTGAGTGGTAATATGTGGATATTGTGGTACTCTCAAAATACAGGGTGTTTTTTCAAGTGTTACAAGGAAGGCTATACCCCAGAAACAGATTGCAATATATTTATAAAAATTTTGGAAAGTAATAGATTGGTAGGGGGACATGTTTTAACATATTTTTTACTATTCTACTCAAGGGCCCTCTTTGAGAGGTAAAGGCAACTTTGAAATTTTAGATGGAATGATATATATTGCAAGGTTTACTCATCTGGTTACACAATTATCGATAATTTAAGTTTTATTGAATTTCAATACAATTAAGCATGTCAGTGGTTTTTTCAAATTATCAAAAATTTCAAAATTCTTTAAAAAATAGAGTAGTAAAGTGTTTGGAAGATGATGGCAGGCATTTTGAACATCTGAAACATATTTAATTACTATTAGTCGGGTCATAATTTAATAAATTTATTTTTTTAAATTTATGTTGCACGTCATAATTCTGGAACTAAGTGATCAAATGACATAAAAATGTCTACACATACATAGTTTCTTATGTTGATTTAAATTTTACAATCAGAAATATATCATTCCATTTAAAATTTTAATGTTACCTTTACCTCTCACAGAGGGCGCTTGACTAGAATAATGAAAAAATATGTTAAAATACTAATAAATATGTCTCTGTACCTATTTTTATTTTCCCAAAATTGTATAAATATATTTGAAACCGTTTCTGAGATAAAGCCCTGTAACACTTTAAAAAACTCACCCTGTATATGTTCCTTCTCAATTTTACTTTCATATGCTTTGAGATCTATTAAACAATCAACTTTTTTCCGAAACCTTATCCAGATATGAACACCGGAACTTTGACGAAAACAAACAAAGTGAAATTAAATTTGTGAACATTAATTTTATAATACTCAAGACGCACTTAAATTCCTCCGAGAATCGCAAAAAGTCGAGACATGTGCATTGTCTACGTTTTACTTATTATTTATATTAAATTATATCTACGATTTAATACTGAGCTAATTTAAGCTTTGAACGGTTTTGTTATTACATTATAATACCCGATAAATAAATTATATATAATATAATTAAATATATACCTCCACTTTAAAGCAATGCTGCCACATCATTTTGCTTTGTATCGTAATATTCAACACATCTTTTTTTAACGAAGAATTTTTCATTAGGCAATGGCTGATTCTTCCCAAACGATATCAGAATTGAATTGAATAGAGAAGAAGAATTTTTCTTTCATTACATTTAGGTTAGAAGCGTTGGAGGATTTAACCTGTGTATTTTACATAAAACAATATTTTGTACGTTTAATTACAAATAGTAATTGCTCAAGTTAAAGCCTCAAACAGTTGAAAATGGCGTTAGATGCTATACCAAAGGATCTCAGAGGACTGAGAGCATGCCTTGTCTGCTCCCTCATTAAGGTAAAATTTTTGAAAATATTTATATGCACTTCTAAATCTACGTAATGTAGTCTTTTGATCAATTCGAGGACGATGGATGCGACAACTGTGACGAGTTTCTCAGAATGAAGAATAATAAAGACAACGTGTATGATTGTACCAGTTCCAACTTTGATGGGTAAGATTAAAAACTGCATTAAAACTGACTAAAACTCGAAAGAATCTATGAGCACAATAATATGCACAAGACATGCAATAGCGGGCACATGTGTTCAATGTAACATTTATGTTAATCTAATAACTATTTAGATCTATATTATGCGAGAGAAATGGATATTACCTTCATTATTTCTTGCTTTCTTGTTACCATGTTTTGCCATGCGTCTTTGTTGGAGTCTAATTTAATTATGGTATTGCTAGTTCTGGATCAAATCTATCTCGCTTGTTCTCGTTATGTCTGTAAGTAATGTCCAAAACAAAGCGTGTTTTATCAGGCAATTTTTAGCTAATTAATTATTCATAACTGGGACAATCAAAGTACATGCGAAAGTAAACGTTTTAGAAGGTAAACATCAATATAAATCAGAAAAACTGAAGTCAGACTTAGTAGGTGTAAGCTCTACAATGTGTCCCGGAATAACTAGACAGTCTCTAGGGTTGTTGAGAACCGTTTTTGTCAAATAACTTGAAAGAAAAGGGACCCATTCAAGTAATTTTGCCATAATTATTTTACCATATTGACTAAAATCACCACAATCAGACCAACTCGTTTTACACTCTAATAGAGATACAAATATAAAGTATAAAAATAGGTAGAGCTTTAAATTGAAAACAAAAAAAACGTGTTTCTTGTTCCAGAAAATGTACAATTTTTGGGAAAAGTTATGTTCATTTCAAACTGTTTGTCGGCAATTTTAGAAACTTAAACAAGAAAAGAAATAATAGTTTCTGAGATACAATCGACGACCTTTCTCGGTTGCTCACGTCGATGATGAAATATAGCAGAAGGGAAAAGATTCTAAAACTTCTTAAAGAAATTTAACTATTTTGAGTCGCAGCCCACCTTTTTTCTGAATTAAAATACCTAATCTAGGAAAGGTTTTATCAGGGGTTAGCCGGTTTTAGTAAAAAACTTAAAGTTTACTGCCTTGATTGATTTATTGCACTAATTTCAGGATGATAGCTATGATGAGTCCTGAGGATAGCTGGGTTGCCAAATGGCAAAGAATTAGTAAGTAGCGTTAAAGTGAATTAAGAAATATATGTTAACTTTCTTCCGATTTTTAGACCGATTTTGTAAAGGGGTTTACGCGATTTCAGTATCGGGTAGGTTGCCAAATGGCATTATCAGAGAGATGAAAAGTCGAGGAATAGTTTACAGGCCTAGGGATACCAGCCAACGATAATTAATTTTTACAAAGTATTACGTAATTAATTGCTAACAATGTGTGATCAGGATTCACTATTTTTAGATTATTGTAGATTTATATATATCGATGTATGAGTGTAATTGACGAGTTAAATTCAAACTTCCTTTCGAATATCATAATTTGTGGTGATTCAATGAAATATTATATGTATATTTGCCAGTAAATACAGTGGAATTCTATAATTCATCCAATAATTTAATTTTTAGTCAAATATAATTTCCACAAAACCTATTGAGATATTTGATGTTTGTTTTGAATCCTATTACAATAATATTAAGACATAACAAGAAAAACGTGTCAAACATTCTCTTTTACTCGAAATATATTTAAAATTGTAAACATTTAATTTTTGTTTTCTTGCGGCTCGTTTTATAAATGTGCTCAGTCGAGCTGATTTTTTAATTGCAGTTCGTAATGGCTATTTATGTGATTCTGTATGAAAACGAAAGGTACATTTTCACATAGTTTGTGAAATTTATCTATACATATTGTCTTCTTGACCTTTTAAGCTACATAACTTATATAATGCAACCGTTTGGAATATTGAATTGGTTAAATATGACATGGAGTATGTATAATCTTAAAATGATGTTTTCGAGCAAAAATTGTAGTAAAATATTCTTACGAACGTGTGTAGGTGGAAAACCCAAGGAAACAATTACCATTATGATATTATTTAATTTTTAAGCCCAACAATCATATATTTATAAATACAAATATAACAAATCTACAAAAAAAGTCGCATTTCTAATAATCTTCAGTTAAAATCGTTGTCTAGCTGTCGAAATAATCTGGGTAAAAATCAGGCTTTTTACGTGAAATAAAGTTAACAGTACTTATTTGAAAGTGTGTTAAAAAGGTATATTGTTAAAAATCAAATAGGTAAACCGTTGACAGAAAACTTCGTTCTGCTGATTCTATATGCTGCAGAAGAGCGGGTTAACATATCGAATAGTGTTATAATAGTTAATACTCGCCTAAAATATATTAAGTTTTCACGTGGTTGAAAGCTTTACAGTACTATTGACTATTAGGAATAAAACGTACTAAAATTAATAAAACATCAAAATAACAGTTTATAATAGAGTGCAAAGAAATTTATCCTATTCTTAGGCACCTAGAAAAAATATCTCATTCTTTAATATCGCATAGGCACATAAATTGACATCAATATTGAATATATAGTATTTTCTTAAAATTTTCGAAGAATGCACAGCGGTATAGTGTCACCTGGGTCGTTAGATTGCCACTCATCACCTGAAAACAGTTAAAATAGGTAAATCATTTTTGTACAGTTAGTGGCCTTCAACAAATACTTACTCTTTTGGTAGCAAACTATTGCCGAAAATATTACCAGTTGCACTAGCAATATTGTCCAAACCAGCATGAGCCCGCTTATTGCTTTCTTCCAATCCGTTTGAAACTGATTCATCAATTGATCTGCCTGTTTCTCTCCATTTATTGTCAACATTTTGTGCTGTTTGTCGGAGCTGGTTTTCTAAAGAGATTTCAGCATTGTGTAGGCCGGCATTAAATTGTTGCGCTCTTTGCGTCATTGCATTTCCAAACGACTGGAATCCTGAAGAAAGCATTTTACAATCGTTGTAGAAAGAAGTCATTAATATATGTATACGTTTACAAATAATTTAAGTACAGTACAACTATTTAAAGGCTGTATTGTTAGGTTTTTACGGTTGTATAAAAAATTCAGCGTTATCCAAAGTCCAGATTTGGGAAGGGCCGTTTCAATTTTACGTCTCAAAAATGTGTTTGTTAAAATCAGGTTTTGATCAAATATTTTTTTTGTTTCCCTGTCTACATTAAAATTTTAGGCTATGATTAATAGTAAAAAAGCTGAAAACAAGCCAAGTTATTGGGGCTAAATATCTCAGTTTATGTATCAAAATCGTTGAATATTTGCTCCATTTGAAGATTTGCTGTTTAAATTTTAATTTAGTCAATCAATTAATTTTTTTATTGACCACTTTTCTATTAAGCATTAAGCAAAGAAGTTCAATGGTCTGTTGGCAGACGACTAGTATAAGTTAAAAATATAATATAAATATATTATATATATACACAACATATAAATTAAAAAATTGCGACACTTGAATAAATTAACGGACATTTTTGTTTTAAAAAACAAATATTTTAATTTATTACTTAAAAAGTCTTGTAGTTTGATTTTTACCCCATTAACTGAATTCTATCTAGAAACAACCTAACTTTTAACGTTTTAACTTTTTAACGTAAAAATGGATTTTGAAGCTAGCTGTTGATAGATGAGTTTCACCGCGTTCTCTGACCTCAATTGGAATGATGTTTGCAATTATTTCATATCTGAATAGTTCTTAGCGTTGTTTATGTCTTCTTGTTTCTTGTGGCATTGTTTCATGCCTATTATGGGTCTGTTTTATGATTCTTTAAAAAAAAAGAAATAAATATTCGATTTAATGTATTTTAAAAAACAGCTAAAGCAGCTTTCTCACATTTACATTAATTTATAAAATATAAGAGCGAAAACATGTGCTCAAAAGAAACTGTGGTCTTGTAGATAAGGGAGGATTTTCAAGCATGAAAAAAATCTCTGCAGCCTACATAACTAAATAAAAACTCACTGATTTACCTTGGCTTACATTCTGTGCTACGTTTTGAGCGCCTTGTGTTAATCTCTGTTTTTCGGCTTCAGCTGCTACAGCAGCATCGTGAATTTTCTTATCAATTCCGCTGGCAACATTCTGAGCTAGATCTATGGACTGTCTGGCCACTGCTGAAGCAGCCTCCTGTTTTTCGTGCCACCTTGCATCAATCCCTTCAGCAGTTTCTTTTGCTTTATTAGCTGCAGCTTCTTGGGTGCTTTTTATTTTGTCGTCCACACTTCGGGCCATGTTTTGCGCCCCTTCAACGGCTTGCCTCGCCTTGTCTGCTGCAGCTTTTTCAGCGTCTTTAACTTTGCTGTCCACATCCCTTGCTAGGTTCTGGGCGGCTTGGGCTGCTTCTTTCGCTTTGTTATCGATATTGGTGGCCACATTTTGTACTCCTTCCGCGAGTCTTTGTTTGCCATCTTGTACTGCACTTGCAGCTTGCTTTGCCTTCTCAGCCGCTGCATCTTGGGTTTCTCTAAGCCTGTTATCGATGTTGTGACTGTTTTTTTGGGCGGCTTCCGCCACTTCTTTAGCTTTATTTGATGCTGCTTCCTGCGTTTCTGTTAGTTTGGAATCAATGCTTCGGCCTACATTCTGAGCGCCTTGGATAGCAGCTGCTGATTTGTCGGCAGCTAATTGGGCTAACCTGTTCTTTTCAGCTTCAGTTGCGGCCGCAATCTCCTTTGCTTTACTCGCAGCGGCCTCTTGAGCTTCTTTGGCTTTATTTTCGATGTTCTGCGTTAGCTCGTGAGCTTTCTGTGCAAGTTGGCGTTTCTCTTCTTCGGCAGATTCTGCAGCTTCATGCAGTTTTTTTGCAGCGGCTTCTTCAGTTTCTTTTACCTTACTGTCAATATTCTTCGCAAAATTCTGAGCTCCAGTAATGGCAGCCTGTTCAGTTTCTCTTAGTTTGTTATCGGCAGCTTTCGCCGCATTATTTGCCCCTTCAATTACATCTCTAGCCTTTTGCGCGGCAGCTTCTTTTGTGCTTTGAACTTTCTCGTCCACGTTTCTTGCAACATTCTGCGCTGCTTCTTTCGCTTTTTGTGCAGCAGCTGCTTCTGCTTCTTGCACACTTCTCGCCAAGTTCTGGGCTCCTTCAGCAATTCGTTGTTTTTCTGCTGCTACAGCATCAGCGGCAGCTTTGGCCTTTGCAGCTACTGCGGCTTCAGTTTCCTTAAGTTTGTTTTCCATATTTTTAGCGAACGTTCGTGCTTCTTCTGCCAGTCTTTGTTCTTCAGCTTTGATGGCTGCGGCTGCCGCCCTGGCTTTTTCGGCTGCTGCCTCTTCAGCTTTTTTGGCGAGATTTCGTGCTTCTGCCGCCAGTCTTTCCTCTTCTGCTTTTACAGCTGCAGCAGCCGCTCTAGCTTTTTCCGCAGCTGCTTCTTCAGCTTTTTTTGCGATATTTCGGGCATCTTCAGCTATTCGTTCCTGTTCAGCTTTTGCAGCTGCTGCAGCCGCTCGGGCTTTTTCTGCAGCCGCTCGAGCTTTTTCTGCAGCCGCCTCTTCAGCTTCTTTCACTCGATTATTAACTGCATCAGCTGTTTCTTGAATATGTTCTCCCGATTCTCTGCCTATTCGGACAGCGGCTTCTTCCGATTCTTTTACTTTATTGTCAATAGTTTTAGCGAGACTCTGTGCTCCGCTAACGATTTTCTGCCGTTCGGATTCTGCGGCATGGGTGAATTCGTTTTTCTTGCTTTCAGCTGTAACAGACACATCATGTAATTTATTATCAATGGTTTTTCCTATGTTGAGAAGTGAATCTTGGAAATCATTTTCAATTGGTTGGACTTTCTCTTGGATTTTGGCATCAATTTGGCGGCCCACATTTTGAAGGTCATCGCTCAAGTTCGATTTTCCTCTGTTGACTGCCGCTGCTGTAAAAATGCAAATATTTTGAATAAGACGGAAACCATACAATGAAATAAAATTTAAATTTCAAGAGCAGAATCAACCTTTTATCAAAAATGAAGGTCAATAACCAAAATTCATAACTGTTTTATGAGATACTAATGAAGATGCAGCATTTAACTATTATTACTAATTAGGAATTTTTTTTCGACTAATTGGGGCCATATGATGTTCCCATAAAATATGTGCTTGCCATACGTTTGAACGTACCTTATTCTGGGTCTTTCAACTTAAAACTTGTTTCAATATGAATGAACTTGACATTTATTTATTTTATTTTCGTATATTACTTGGGTTTGACTCGTTAGACAAAATACTATTAAAATTATTCTTTTGTCAGGAAAATCTTAAGATATCAGATAATACCTTATAAGGTAATAATATAACCACTCTCATTGGTTACCGTTTAACGCATATCGATGGTGTTTAAAAAACATGCGCCACTCAAACAATTTTAATAGGTCAACTTGAAAAACTAAAATTGTATTATCATTCTTTCTTGTTGGGCAGATGAAGTTTACTGCTGGTTTTAAAACTTTTTTGCTCGAAAGGTCAGTTAGAAATAGTTACAGTGGCTTTTCAAACAAACAAGTTGACTTCTTATGTTGGCAACGTATGGGACGTATTAAGAAAGGTACTTTTTTTATAAAAAATTCTGCATGCTATAAAATCTAAAATGCAATTATTACATTTTTTCAGTCGTGTACCCGTTTGTAAAAAATATGAATTCTGCACAACAGTAAAGAACCTTTATGTCCGATAATATCGAAAACTGTTAGTAAAAAATTGATCAGAACTAAAATCTACGTTCCATTCAAATGTGTTATTATATTCTACTACATAAAAAAATAACTACAAGTTTTCCTGAAATTACCTACAGTTGCCGAACATTTTTTTAATTTGCTACAAACGTGCTAAAGTTTCATCATAACTAAACTTAAATTTTGCATTGTTATTGCAGATAAAAACAGGAAAACATGTTTTTTTAATGGAGAAACAAGGATTTTCGATGTTGTCAAAAGTAAAGGTACTTTACTTTTGATCACAATTAATGCTGTTGAGCTGTTGAAAATGCTCTGGAGCAAAATCATATTTTTCAACGAAGCGCGTAAACGACCGGAAAAAACTGATATCTGATAATTCTACTTTAGATTTTAGAGCATGTATATATTTTATTACAATAAAGTAAGTTTTTTTCGTAAAATTAATAATATAAAAGTTTTCCATATGCTGCAAACTTAACTATACACACTGTATATTTGTTGAAATAGTTCATTTCCTTTAAAGTGGATTAATCGTAATGCGAGAGCTGATATGTTTTCTAAACAACCAGCATATATTAGGTAGGTTAGGTATACCTAACTTAAGTTTATATAACTTTAATAAAAATTTCTCAATTGTCTGAAATGTTCGTAATTGTTTCATACACTTTATTAATTAATTACCTGCTTCCTGTGCAATCTTTTGCGCATCACTCTTGGTTCTTTCTAAAGCTTCATCAGTTTTCTTAACTCTCTCTTCCACTACATCTTCAACACGGTTTTCAGCTTCTTGTACCTCTTCGGCTACCTCGCTCTTTTTTCTCGTAAACAGCTGCCCAATTCGACTTCCAAAGTTTCGCAGGGAAGCTGAAAAAAAAAGAGTATGATTACTACTTTTATTGTTATTTATTTGCATATATTTTTCTCGGCATTTTTTAAATCAATTTTCAAACAAAAAGCAACAATCTCACCACTAGATAAATATGAATTGCTAAGTATATATTTCATAGCAAAACCGATTACGATTCAACTGAAATATCCGAAGAATAGCAAGGATTTAGATCTAAAATAGATTATCCGTTAGATCATCAACGCTTTCAATCAAGTTCACAGCAGAGAAAATAAATGATTGAACGTAAGTGATTTAATTTTAGTAACAGGACATTTTTTAATCAAAATAAGTTCAAAGCACATTGATTGTGTTGATTTTTACGCACTACTTTCTGAAATACATACGGAATTCACCTACACGCAGTGGTTAGAGAATCATTAATTATACCGATGATTTTCCGAGAATGGTACAGTGTTAAAAATATCCGATTACATATCATTCTTATTATGTCATGGTAATTTAGCCTTTAACATCACCTCAAGGCTGCAACGCTAAATCAAGAAATGGCGTGTAAATTGCTAGATTATCAGATTCTAAAGAGTCGTTAGATTATAAGCCGAATGATGTTTGCCGAATTAAACACGCTAAAATGTGCTTTAAACAGGATAGAGAAGAAATATAACATTTAATATACATTTTATGGATACCTACAAATAAATTCATGATCAACATTTTATACAAGTTTTATTGAGTCGTCTGAGAAATGGAAAACTTTTAATACCTAGAGAGTTGCAAGGAATTTAATTGCTGGTTTAAAGGCGTATTGAAAATGATTTAGGGTTTATTAATGAAGAGTTGTTTTGTAAAATGTTTTAATTAGTTTTTTGGCAAAGCGATTAGTAGGTACTTTCTTGAATTGTTATGAGAAAATAATTTGTGTTCTAAGCACTATTATGTTATTGCGCTTTCAGTTTTTTAATCACGACCTGTTAGCATTGAATTCCACAGGCGTCGAATGGGTTCATTTTGCACATTTCGAAAACATTGCAGGAATTACGTCAGAAGACCATTTATCAATTAGAAACAATTGCTCAATAATGACAATTTGTTTGAGAACTAAAGTAAGAGGAAAAGCTATAAATAAAACAAATGTGCCTTTTGCGCAAATCTAAAGACATATTTTTGAAATAAATCAAATTGTGTTGAATCAAATTGTGTTTGAATCAAATCAAATCAATCATGAGCAATGTTGTTGACTACAAAAATGTTTTACTAGCTACTATTTGTCGCATTTAGCGGAAAAAAATATTTCAGTGTAAATAATTATCATTTTAGCAGTTATACATTAAATCCAGCGATTAGTCAGTCACAAAAAGTTTCCGATTAACTCTCGTATATCGGTTATAGAGCACAAAGACATATAGCGAATGACATGTCGATCTCACTCCTGAGCAAAGGCCGAACATAGTCGAAGTAGATTCGCCCAGTTCAATTGGATCAGGTATATTACGAAGGGCGGTTGTAATTGAAATCATAATGCGAATTGAAAACGTAATTGTAAAAAGTTTTATATGGTTTTTCATTATAGAATATGTCTTTATATTTAATTTGTGCCGATCGATTTTATTGTCGACTTCAATTGAAGATACTTTTTGTTCAATAAAGAAAAGAGAAGAAAGAACTAGAATTGCCAATACTAAGTCAGATTTTCATAAGGAAATGTATGCTGATTTGTATATTTTTTTAACGATTTAAATATAGGAAGAAAAACACGAAACAGTACATTAAGACTCCATATGATATTAAGCCAAAACAAACACAAACAGATGGATATAAAACTGACATAATGATTTCAAAATATTGAAAAATACGTGACGATCGCCCAAAACCATAACAAGAAAGTAAATTTCTAGTCTTTTTTCAGACAAACATTTTATTTAAGCATTGATTTACTAATAATTAATAAAAGCGAATACTAATCTACGTATAAGTGTTTTGCAATGGACCATTGTCCTTATGGCTCGTTAAATAATAATAATAATATGCAGTTCTCATATTTATAAATTTTAAATTCACAGAGGTATTTCACATTACATTTATAAAGACATTATTTTAATCATCACAGATGAAGAAAAAAGGCAAAAATTCAATAGAATGAGCCAATAAAAATGAAAAGAAATATTGCAATTTAAAAAATAACATGGCAGCAAAAGTTAGAACAACTTTAAGAAAAAATTGTTACTACTTCAGTGAAATCAAATGCTTGAAAAATATTTCTATAAAATACAATGAAACATACAATTGAATCATGGAAAAATGACATTATGGAAACAAAAAGGTACTTTTAAACTGTGCTAAACCCAATTGAAAGACTTTTGAAAAAAATAACCATTTGATAATTTAAAAATTTTGAATGAAAATGTACCAATACTTATTATTATTACAGTTCTTTGTATAATTTAGTTTCAATTCATTTTTTGTATTTCTTAGTCAGCGAAATTGATTCCTATGCTTAATCACGGCTTAGTTAATCTATAATTCAAATTCATAACGATAACATGAATTTTTATTACATGTTTACATTATAGGTATGTCAAGCAAGCATGCAATCAATTCAATTACTGTAACTGTAAATATTTGAAAAATACAATATAGTTGCGTTAGACACTCAATTTACTAGACGTAATCGTTTACTGCGTGAAAGTGTGTAAATATAATTTTACAGCCGCACTAAATCACTCACTAGAAGCGGATTTTAAATATATAGGTACGAATTAAATCTGTTCTGTTTCATACATCAGCGCAGGTTTTAAATAAATTTCAAGTCATCGACAGTTGGAATTTAACTCATTTCTAGCAACGTTGTGCTAAGTTATAAATTAAATATTATTAGTTGCGTATGGTTTTGTAAATATTGAGCTTCCATAAATGATTGAGTGAATTGCTATTATTCATCTTTTATTCAAACACACGAAGAAAACACCCGGAAGTAATTTCAAAGGTGTGATGTAACACTCAACGACCGGAACTCAAATAACGCACGAATTTTGTTATAAACTAATTTTTAGGTTGCGCGCTATTTTAGGCAATAAGGAAACATGTATTAAAGCTTCTGTTTCAACCGGGCTAAATGCATGTATATTATAACATGTCGGTTTGTTTATTTTATATTTAAAACCAATGGGTGTATGCTATGCTATTAATAGATTATCCATTCCTTCTTAAAATAATATCGGCATATAAAAACTGTACTTCATATGATTTTTGTTGTGCGACTATTAATGTGATCCTGATGAGAGTTCGAAGTATAATGAATTAAATAAAAATTGTTGTTCTGAGAGCATTTTGAAAAACTAAAAAATATTCTGTTTAATAATTCATCTGAATTAATTCTTTTACTTTTTGGGAACAGTGTAAAATGGTTCTTTATTGCTGTTATTTGCTTATTAAAGTCGACAGAGATTAAAATTAAGTCGAAAAAAGCACAATTAAGGCAGTTCTAAGTAAGTTTGAAAAAAGTTTTCTTCAATAATGTGCTAACTTTTTAGTTTAATTCTTAAAATTTAGTATCTGCGACTTTTTTGTACCTGTTTGTCTAGGGATGTGTACTTTGTTGATTAAAATGACAACCACTTTTCCAGTTCAGTGTATTGCGTTACTTTTTAATTAAAAAGCTGGTTTTCCTTACTCTTTACGTGACAAAAGTTTCCCAAAAGTAAACAGCTCTGAAAATAACTATTTTCTCAATTGTTATTCAACTTTTTAGACTAGGAATTATTTTTTACAAATTTTTATTAGAAGTGTACTAGGCCTTTATAAACAATCTAAAATGTGTATAAAAGCAAAATTATTTTCTGCGGGATAATTAGTATCTGTATGATAATGAATAATTTCAGCTAAGGTGAAGTGTAACAAAAATTGAACAAAGATTTTCCAATCGCCAATAACTGAGGTTTTAAATTTAAAAAGTTAACGAATTTTTTCTGGAGTTATTTGTTATAATTATATCATTTATGTTTTCTAATCGAAACCAATATTTATTTTATTAATTGATTTGCAAGTCGTATTTCAATTTTCTTCGTAAGTATCTATATATTTTTCGTTTTTTACCATTTTTAAAATACGTTAATTACACGTTTGCTCACTGTTCTTTACTTTCATAGTTCTCCTGGTGTACGTAAAATAAAGTATGATTACAAGTATTTTATTACATCGCTTCGTTCTTTTGACAACATCAAATACATTCATATTTATTGTATTCGTCTGCAATACAGGGTGTTTGGTAATAATTACAAATATTTCAGTATGAATTGAGTCCCTTTTGCGAAAATCATGAAATTTTAGAATTACTCAAACCATTAATTTTCTTGATGTTTTTGCAAAAAAGGTTAAACGTGGAAAAGTTGAGTAGGTCCAAGTTAACAAAATCGTTTTGAGGTAAATCGTTGCGCAAACTACTTGCAAAATAAAAAAGAAACATCATGTATACTTAATAAAACGTATTTTTATCTGCATATTTGTGAGTAAAAAAGATATAAATTGTACGTATTTGATTATAATAATTAAAAGGGCATTGAAATAAAATAACTATGTAATTATTTCAACACAAGCAGAATGTATTTTTGCTGACAAAGAGGAATGATAACATTTATGTGGTATTTCCAAAAGAACGAAAAACTTGGAATAATGTCCCTGTTTAAATATTTGTGCCAAGCATACTTAATTATGTCTACGTAAGATGGTTTATAAAAAAACTTACACACATACATTGTTTATTTATACGCATTTGCTAACCGTTACCAAGAAATTTCATTTCGTAAATGTTTCAGTCATTTTATTAATGATTTTGATTCAATTTGCTCGAGCACAGCTTCAATCTATTTTAAACGAATCTACGCATAAGTTTTCAAGCAATAATTATCTATTAGCCGGCCACTTAAAATATTTATACGCGCCGGTTTCTGGTGTTTTTAATGATATTCACTAATAGAATAGAAGGAAATCCGATAGGTAATAAATAAGTCCAAAGCAGGTAACATATGAATCTCTTTCCTCAACCATGTAGGCCAAATGTGAAATCAACTGAAAAGAATGTGGTTGAGACAAAAGCTGCTAGATTTTTTGTTCGGAGCTTGAGAATGTTAGATGATTCAGAGTGCACTCTCAAATGCTACTAATTTCCAACATTTGGATAATTTCCAATTTAATTTAATTGCAGCAAATTGTGCTGTTTCAGTTTTTGAAATTGAAAGTTCCGAGAAAACATAAGTTTTATGCAATTTTAGTATAGGTATGTAAATATCTAGTAATTGTAGTTATTTTTGAGAAAGTGTCTCTAACAACGGTATTTCTAAGACAAATATATCGACTATCAAATTTTCATTGAAGCATCCAATGGATGGATGGATGTTCCAGATTTTAATTTATGTTTTATATTATTTCCTGCATCTAACTCACCCAGTTCAAGACTTAATGATTCCCGTATTACTAATTATTATATGTAATTAATAATATTAATACCTTGGAATGGATATTCGAAAGTTTTTATTCTTGAGTTCTGTGCAATAAAATACGTTTGCATTTATTATGACGATAACTTAGTTTCTTGGATCAAATCTAGTTGCCAACTTGAATCGCTGAATATTAAAGATTAACTTTTTTCCTGTTTCCACACCCAATTCAATTTAATTTGTGACTGATCTCGTACTGTTTCCCCCGAAATATCAATCTTTTCATGTTAGTGTTGATCAATTTTATCATTTTAGTGTTGTTTTCGCATGTTTTGTTATTGTCGGCTATGAACGTTGCCGATCGTTTTGTGCTGCAACGATTACTAGTTGATTTTATTTTTTTGTTTTGGGTAAATTACAACCTTAAGAAACTTAATTAAGAATCTATTAAATATTTCAAAAGTGATATCAAATAAACGACCTGAATTGAAAGAAAAAATCTGATAAATTCTGGTCATCTGGTATGAGTTAATGAAATATTAAATATGAAAAACATTAGCAATTTGAGGTCAGGCTTTAAAATATTCGCAAATAATTATATATGGACCATTTTATATAGGTGGTTCATTAACGGTGTCTTCCGTTCATTTCTCAACAAAGGGACATGCTTGAAAAGTAAATATTCTAAGTCGAAATATAATTAATTATCAATGTTTGTAAATTTCTGATATGTAGAGTGGAGCCTGATAGAAGCACATCAGGCTCCACTAGCATTTCAAATTCCTTTTCTAGAGGCCGTATTTTGCAATAATAACTGCTTTTCTTTTTATCTCAAAAACTTAAAACATACGGGACTTATAATTAATTATATCAAAATAGGAAAGTTTATGGAAATTCCGAAAAAAAATGTGCAAACCGCAGATCGATACATTTACTAGTTCTTGAGTTATTACCCAAAGAAGAAATGTTGATACATTGATCTTTGAGTCAGTTTCAGCTTTAAACATTGTTCAATATCCTGTATAGTCAAAAAAGTATATACATATAACCAACATATATGGGTTGCAACGATCTGGCTAAATAAAAAATGCAGTTCTCTCTGTAGATTTGAGTACCGATAATTTTTTAATTATATCATGTTAACCAAAGTGCTTCTGACCAGTTATATTTTTGAGCTATTTTTAAGCACCAAACTACATAAAATCGTTACTACAAACGTCGTAAACAAATTTATTTAGAGCATAGTGCACACTAATGTAGATAAAAGCCAATTATTTTTAGAGTCTAAGTAAATATGTCTTATCAAAGTGTTTGTAGCACTTGGCCATAGAATATGTACAAGAAATTATAAATTGGGTAGTTATATTAGAATTTATGAAAATATGACTACACATTAAAAGATGTCCCAACTGTTAGAATATTTCAATTTTTCAACCACGCATTTGGGTAGATTCTAGATGGAATTTTAGTAAATTTCCCTAATTGAATTAAATTTTATGCTTTATAAGTACCAGTATTCTCATTTAAAGGCAACTGCGTAATAAAGCATTTTAATTTTTAAGGAATTTGGAGCAATTTTAATAGCTGTGGTTTTCTGTGCTCCTCTGATTTCGATCCCAGTTTTTTAATTAGCAGCAAATCCTCTCCTGGTGGTCTTTTTCTATACGATATACTAAAGTACATGTGCGAAATCATTAAGTAACTATTCTAGATCTATTTGACTAAAACAGCAGAATAAATTCTACTTCGACTAGACATATCGGGCAATTCGGTGAATTATTCAATATAAATGACTCATATTGTTGCTTAACGTAGCTTTAACGGGACAATCGCAATTTGCAGCATCAACCGCAGGAAAAGTTGGAAGTCTGCTTCTATATAAATGAGTTATTTCTAGCGTTCAAACGCCTTATCTTAAGCGAAAAAGTCTGAATAATTTAGCAAATTCGATTTTATAAACGTATCCTTTCGTTTTGGCGATTTCCGCATTATTCTGACTCATCCTAGCGTGTCTCGCGCATTATATGCTTCAAACTAGTTGCGACATGATTGCAAGAACAGGTTTTGCAATGGAATAATTCAAAAGTACATTTCCCGTACTTACCAAACATTTTTAATCGGGTGGAACAGGCACAAGTCGGTTCTAGCGAATTTTCACAACAAAAATGATATCAGTCGTATTTGAATCGATTGCTCGAAACAAATTCAGTATTCACTGTTTTCAAATGTTGCGACGTAGAATCTCGCGGTTCGAAGTATTACTGACCGTCAACAGCACTGCGATGTACAGAGCAGGAAAGCACAGACAAGACAGAAATATCGATTTCGTCGTGAAAAAGGTTCCACAAAGTCTAGAGCGTGACCTAAACCTTCACAATTCATATCCTTTGCTGTTTAAATCCGTGGAGAATCGGTCAACAGGATCGATTTTCAACTTGCCAGGAAATTTTAAAATAATAACAGGAACTTTCCAGTGGAAAATTAGTTTGAAAGACTAGAAATATAGGATAAAAATCGAGAATGTTTTTTTGTTGTTCGGGTTCATGAGAAGTGGTTAAAGTTCAAGATTCAAATAAGGTGCAACTGAAAGTGTTTGTCCGCATTTTCAACACAAATTAGACCTAAAATAATTCGGTTTACATTTTTTTGGGAAAAAGATAATTTACTTAAATAATAAAGAGAGCTTCTTCCACTCCAACCGCTTTCAATTTATAATAATTAATTTACAGTGACACTGAATTTAATCGACTGTAAGTCTTAATTGATTGCTTCAAACAATAAGTTATTAAAATGTTTATGGCAATTTGTCGTTCTTCCACCAACATGCATTCAAAAAGGCTGGTAATGTTGGAAATCCCCAAAAAAGAAAAACGATTCATTAATTAATGTAAAAATTTAAAAGATAAGGGAGACAACAAATTGTAAAGAGTTTTTCGCACAGGCTGCACCATATTTAAACTGCTTATTTTCGCGTCAAAAAAAATGTTCATGTAATTCCTTTAAAGTTTAGTGGAGAACTGAAGTATATTTTGAAATAAATCTTTAGTTGCCTCTATTTATTTTATGATTTAAAATATTGCTAATTGTTATTTAGCATTTCCGATAGGTTAGTCAAAAAAAAATCCGTTTTCTCACTTTCCGGATCTTCTCTTTTTTCTTCAAACTAGCGAAAGTTAAATAAACTGCAGAACGGCAGGTTCTGCAGTTTATTTTGATAGTTTGTGAAAACTGATTTTTATTTTGATAGTTTTTTGTTGTTGTTTAGATAGTTTGATAAAAAATTGCATGGTGTTTGCTAAACAAATAAAACGCTGGGTATTTGTCATCTACACTGTGTGTGCAATTTAAATATTGGGGGATTTTTAACCAATTTCCTTATCAAGCTTTTTCCATTACAGGGAGGTTCTCTTACATTTCACTATTTTACCAATACCGTCGTTTGCAATTTATATACTGTAACATTTTTTGTTAATGCCATCATAGATGTTTTCCATTTCTTTGAGGGTTTCTTAGATTTCAGGCTTTGGCCATCGCGCAATTATATCACTGTGTCTAGAAAATGGGCACAGTACCATTGCTCCTATTTTTAGAACTATCGAAATAGGTATAATATCTTTGTCGCTTTTTAAAACCGTTTATTCCGCGCCTTAAAAAGCAAAATAAATTTCCAATTTCCAACATTAGCTAAAATATTTGGCCATATCCATCTTAAGTCTATGTAATTGATTCATCATGAGAATGGACCGGATTTTTTACGAAATAGAAATTATTTAAACAAATATTTTGCGCCTACTTTCTGTTTAATCATGCCAATTTGCAAATGCGTTTGTTCGTATTTAATTTACCTTTTAGAATATCTTTACACAAATTAAGCAAGGTAAATTGAAGCGTTCTATCATTGCAATAATTTCCATCCCAGAAGGAAAGAACGTGTTTTTACTTAAATTGATATTGTGTTTGGAAAACGATAAAGAAACATAAGTAAAGTTGAATGAAAATAAGAGAATTCAGTTTTAAAGTCGAGTGGCTATTCAATAACTAATATGCAAGTATATAAAGTAAAGGGTTGAGAAACATAGGAAATAGCAACTGAATAAATGTATCTACTTCGAATGCTGCTGATTATGTTACAAATATTTTATTTTGTATTTTTAGTCGGAAGTTCTTAACGCCTTTATCATTTTTTATGGAGAATAGGTAATGCTTTGTGCCAGTGGGTATTTTTGGGTGTAATTGCTATTCGATTACTCTCAAAACTGGAAGCAATTCCGATTTTTTAACCTTTCAACTCGCAACTATTATTTTCTTCACCTTTCAGATAATCGTGCTTAGCATCAATAAACAATAACTTAAACTCTGTTTTTTTTTTAATTAAAAATACTGGAGAACCAATGTAATTTAATTTGTATTTTTTGAGCTTCAATCTGAAAATAAACTTATCAAAAAACGACTTAAATTAAAGTAAAAGCAGAATAATTAGATCTTATAGTGAACATGCATTTGCGTAATTTTAAATAATTTTTAAGAAAGGTGTGAAAATGTATCTAATGCAACTGAGAATTGAAAAAAGGAATGTTTAGAAAATGGATCCTTAGTTTATTTATGTTGTTACCTGTGATTAATAAGTGTTTTGAGATATATTAAACTGTCCGCATAAATCAGTTTTACTTGTTCTGAACTCTTCTGATGCTTAGGACCTTTTTCCAAATTTTCGGGTTTACAATTTCCAAAATTATTATATTTTTCTGTCGAGAAAAAAAAGTAGGTTGCGACCACCGAGGCTTCCAGAATTCACCCTTTTTTATCTTCTGTGGGGCAGTTGACAACATAAAACAGAAGGACAGATTTATATGTTTGGTAATAGAATCTAATTTTGAAAGAATTGCATTTAGATTTTATCCGTAAAATTACTTTTTTTCTTAAGTAAACTATATGCACCTCTAAGAGCTCGATCAAGTTGAGTTTAATTGTGTAATTTAATTATCTGTAAATTAATTTAATTATATGTTGCATATTCTTACGATAGAGCAGACATTCAAAAATAGACCCTTTGTCACTATTTAGAAGTAGTTTTCACTTAAATACAGGAAACTTCCGAGTATGCTTAGCTCAAATTAGTTAGCTTAAATAACCATCTAAATACGTTTGAAATGCAATATTTACGTTTTTATAGTTTAATTTTTTACTAAAGTTATTTAGATATTGTCGTCTCAAAATAATCCAAATTAAAGCGAGTTTCTCTGGATTGGAAATTAATCTGATTTCATCTCTAATCCATTTTGGGTAAACAGACCTCACCATGTATCTTAAAAGATTTTGGTAGTTTTAGGTATGTACATTATCCGAAAGTTATTGATGACATATTGATTTTTCTATTGCAGCTTTCTCTAGCCAAGCTTTTAAGTTCATTTTTTTACGATTAATCATTTAAATGAACTTTTGAAGATACTTTTCCGTATGTAAGTATAAAGTACGCAAGGATTACAGAATTATTTATTTGCATAGGTATATGCGAGACAACATTCTCAACTATAATATAATAGTGCGCATTATAATTCAAGCTTGGCGATTCGCACGTATAAATCACTCTCATATAATAGTTTTATTCGGCCTTATTTTTTAAAGGCGTTTCAAAATGTAAAAATTACGTTTAAACCAGGTTATAGAGATGTTTTTACCTGTTAAAGATGCCCAAAACGACATTTTTGTCTGCGGTCTGCAACTGGCCTTGTAACTTGTATATAAAAATAGTGATCACATAAACAACTCGCTAACAAAAATAACCGGCTAGTTCACATGTACCAACTGAAAACCGCAATTCGAAAAGGAAGCCGCCGACTATGTAGAGGTTCGTGGTCAACTAAAGAAATTTTGCATCAGCATAGATCGGCGTGTGTTGTAAAATCTAAAACTGATTTAAAAACTGGTATTTTCGCGTGGGACATGTTTTTATGAATCATAAAAGTGCCATCACTGGGCGAATTAGATTTGTGAATTGCTTTTAAACTACCGCCAAGGTTGCATTCGTTGCAAAAACCATCCAGTTAATCGTCATTAACTGCACCAGAAGTTTTAACATATTTTTCAATTCTGCAGGTTGTTACCGTCATGTTTTTTAGCCTCGTTTTGCTAGTCGGAAGGTACGGAGCAATAGTTACTTTCTATATTATGGTGATTCAGCAGCCAAGTTTTGTTGCACCTAATACAAGGTGACCCATAAAAAATCTTCACAACTGTGAAACAGAAAAGTGTTTTGTATTTGTAAATTCAACCAGATATAAAAACATTTTTTTCAGTTCTTTCTTGCATATTATTCATTACTGGAAGGAAATTATGAATGTGCGATTCCAAAATCTCAATGTCTCAGACAACTGAATTTTATTTTAATTCGATTTCAATTAAAGGTTAATGGTATAGACAAAAATACATAAAAAATTGGCAACTTAAGTTTAGATTTAACGCTTCCAGAATATTTAAAAAGGGCTAAGAAATATCTGCGTTAACAAGAAGATGCTGATAGGTAAACGAACAAGTTACATAAATACGAACTCAAAATTTTATCAACCTTCGATAAAACAACAATTTTGTGTTGCAAATGCAGTTATGAAAATGTGGAAAAACGGACTCAAAGGAGTGAAAACCGAAACGATTTTATTTTATTCAAAGACATAAAGCAGAAAAATAAAACATACTTAATCGGAAGCATATTAAAATCGAAGAACAAAATTAGTTGCTAAAGACTAATAATTTTGGCACAAAGCTACGACTCACCCTGTACTGTAAAGTTAAAGCTGATCTGATCATTTCAAAAGCTTGATGTCTTATTTTAATAGATTTACCGTAAATATGGGCGTGACTTGCAATATTATTGAAGTGTTATCGGGTCATCATTTTCATTTTAGAGATGAGAAAACTTACAGTTATAACGAGCTGATTATAATAGAAAAACGTAAGAAAATGCTTAATCCGTAAGGCATACGCTGATTTGAATCTTGTTAACTTAATACAAGCTATTCCTTCCACCTTCTTCTGACTATGCAGGCTAATTTTTATCTAGTAAATCTTGTTTTTATTCAGTACTGGAATAATAATTAATTTAAAATGAAATTAAGTACAAGAATACAAAACATTTTAAATTTAGTCTTATACAGAGTGTTGCATAACAGCTCGTCCATATGCAAGGGCAATAAAAATAGACCCGCGATTACCCACTCTATAAGCCCATGAAAATATAGAGTAAAACTGTATGAAGTGAATGCTTTTTTCTTCCATTTAATTTTTCAAACAATGTTTAATGGCGATTTAATTTAGAATATTTTTGGTGTCTTAAAA